TTCAATTTTCTTTGTTTTGTTTCATTTCCGTTACTGTTAATCTTTAATATTTCTGTTAAGGCATGCGATTGATACTTATTGATTGATATTTATGATTTATGTTCTGCTAAATAGATAAGATTTATGTACTGTTTGCATATTTTTATCACATCAAAACATCTACTTCAGCATTATTTCCTTTTAGATTTTCCTTTTAGTTATTTTTAATCTTTAATACTACTATCAAGGCATAGATAGATACTTGAAGGAATGGATTGAATATTTTTGATTTATATATTGCTAAATAAATAAGTCTTATTTACTCAGTAAATCTTATTCTTATTATTCTTATTCACTCAACAGTTATATGTTTCACTGCCAACTAAGTGTTGCACTAGATACACATAGGACCAGCCTACTGATTGGAGATATGCTTGTGGATAAGGAAAGTATGTCCTATTCGGAGTCGGTTGATGATGACTTGTCTTTTCTATTACTTGGTAAGATGAGGTTCCTACTTGAGTTAGACATTCTTTGAGTTTGTTGGCAGTGTGATTCCAAGTACTTTGCCACGCTCTGTACATGTGGGCTTTGATATTTACTTTGTGATCAGTCCAAGGCATTTGATTTATGATAGGAATACTTTGATCGGTTGTTACATTGCTTACCAGACAGTCCACTTCCTCATTACCACTTATTCCTATATGTGAAGGTACCCAGATGAAGGAAATATGTTTATGTTGAGTCTGTAGACACTCTTTTATTTTTGTTTGCTAAGTAGATAAGGTGTATGTACTGTTTGCATATTTTTATCATCTCAAAACATCTACTTCAGCATTATTTACTTTTAGATTTTCCATTTATTTTATTTTTAATCTTTAATACTTCTATCAAGGCATATAAGATACTTATTGAATAATATTTTTAATTTATATTTTCCTAAATAGATAACTTTTATCTACTTTGGTTCCAACTTAACTTAGACATTCTTTGAGTTTCCTGGCAGTGTGATCCCAAGTAATTTGCCACGCTCTGTACATGTGGGCTTTGATATTTACTTTGTGATCAGTTCAAGGAATTTGATTTATGATAGCAGTACTTTGGTCGGTTGTTACATTGCTGGCCAAATAGTCCACTTCCTCATTACCACTTATTCCCATATGTGAAGGTACCCAGATGAGGGAAATATCTTTTTGTTGAGTCTGTAGATACTCTTTTATTTTTTTGCTAAATAGATAAGGTTGATGTACTGTTTGCATATTTTTATCATCTCAAAACATCTACTTCAGCATTATTTCCTTCTAGATTTTCCTTTTATTTTATTTTTAATCTTCTGTACTTCTATCAAGGCATATATAGATACTTATTGAATAATAGTTTTGATTTAAATTTTGCTAAATACATAACTTTTAAGTACTTTGTTTTCTACTTGACTTAGACATTCTTTGAGTTTCCTGGCAGTGTGATCCCAAGTAATTTGCCACGCTCTGTTCATGTGGGCTTTGATATTTGCTTTGAGATCAGTCCAAGGCATTTGCTTTATAATAGCAATACTTTGGTCGGTTGTTGCATTGCTTGCCAGAGAGTCCACTTCCTCATTACCACTTATTCCCATATGGGAACGTACCCAGTTGAGGGAAATATTTTTTTTGTTGAATCTATAGATACTCTTCTATTTTTGTTTGCTAAACAGATAAGGTTTATAATATACTGTTTGCATATTTTTATCATCTCAAAACATCTACTTCAGCATTATTTCCTTTTAGATTTTCCTTTTATTTTATTTTTAATGTTTAATATACTTCTATTAAGGCATAGATATATACTTATTAATTAATATTTATAATTTCTATTTTGTTAAATAGATAACTCTTATGTACTCATTATTTTTATATCTATTTGTATGTTTTCTTCACAGCTTCTTTCCTCTTCTATTTTTTTTATTTAAACAAATATACCCGCATCAACCACTAAGGCTTATTAGCGGGGGGACATACACAAACAGTAAGATACATATTATTACACAAAAAAAAATTTTACAATCTGGTATATAGTTTAGTCATTTTAAGAGAACTTGGTAAATACTGTAATGTTGACGTTAGTTCACTTTTTAAACTGTCACTAAGGGCACATATGATTCTTTCGTTCTTATACACTGGACACTCGACAGTTATATGTTTCACTGACAACTGAGTGTTGCACTTGGTACACATCGGAGCAGCCTCCTGGTTGAAGATATGCTTGTGGGTAAGGAAAGTATGTCCTATTCGGAATAGGTTGATGATGACTTGGTCTTTTATATTACTTGGTAAGATGAGTTTGGTTCCTACTTCACTTAGACAGTCTTTGAGTTTGTTGGCAGTGTGATCCCAAGTAGTTTGCCACGCTCTGTACCTGTGGGCTTTAATATTTACTTTGTGGTCAGTGCAAGGCATTTGATTTATGATAGCAATACTTTGGTTAGTTGTTGCATTGCTTGCCAAAGAGTTTACGTCCTCATTACCACTTATTTCCATATGTGAAAGTACCCAGATGAAGGAAATATGTTTTTGTTGAGTCTGTAGATACTCTTCTATTTTTGTTTGCTAAAAAGATAAGGTAATACTATTTGTATACTTTTATCACCTCAAAACATCTGCTTTAGCATTATTTCCTGTAAGATTTTCCTTTTATTTTATTTTTAACCTTTAATAATTCCTACAAGTTTATCCAATTTATTTCTCTATATCTTTAGATTTGCTTCTTTCTTTTACTTACGACCAAATTTGTTTTTTTTCTAAATTTTTGAATCAAATCAAAGCATTTATTTTAGTATTATTTATTATTTAGTATATTTATGATTTATATTTTGCTATATAAATAACTCTTATGTATTCAGTATTTTAATTCCCATTTGTATTCTTTGTTCACAGATTATTCTTCCTGCTAACTTGGACTACAGCTGGAATATATAGTTACTGGTAAGTTTATTTTTATATATAGTTTTATCCTATTTTAGTATGTCTATAACGTTTCGATTTGCTTCTTTTTTTTACTTAGGGAACAAGTTTAGTTTTTGTAAACTTTTTAATCAAATCAAAGCTTCTATTTCAGTATTATTTATTATTAAGTATATAAATGACTTATATTTTGCTATACAGATAATTATAAAACACTGAAAACTTTGTTTTCAAAACTTCCACAAAATTTGTTATAAAATCTTATCACTACAGCTGTTTCGACAGAGTGCCTTTCTCAATTGATATATTTTTAGTATGTGTTTACACTGAACGAAACTAACGAAATAGGTTGAGGAGGGAAGAACTTTCTGTCTTAACTTGTTGAATTAGGATTATGTTTTTTAATTTACTAATTTCCATAGATTCTAATAAAAATACCTTAATGCCTTTATTTTGGATGTGAAGAATTTGAAATTCGCCATTAAAAGAATAATTATGATCTAGAAGGTGAAGTGAGTATGTAGAATCTGCTTTTCTGTTATTGAAAGCCCTTTTATGTTTTGTTATACGTTTGTTAAAAGTTCTACCAGTTTGACGGATATAAGTTTTTGAGCAGTCGCCACATTTAAGTTTGTATACACCACTGTGTAAGTGCTTTTTATTTTGGCTCTTGTTTTTTTTTAATATAATTGTCAAGTTGTTACTTGTTTCTAAAATTAAAAAATTTCAGGGCTTTCTGGTGTAGTTTTTAATTGATTGTTAGTTGTACCCATTGTTTACTTCTGTTTGCTTAATGCTATTTAATTCTGTCTCAAAGTTGTATTTTAACATCAGAATTTTGTCCCTAAAAAAATTCGGTATAGCAGTGTTAGCATGTTTTTATAATGTATATGCTGTATTCTTTAAATACAAAGAGAGAAAGCTTCAGAAAGGTACACTTTAATTATATTATGTTATGAATTCTGCAATTTTTGATTTACATAAAACAAGAATGAGTAAATATTTGTTTCTTTAAAGATTAATTGCAGTTAATTATTAGAAAATTTTTTTGACAAATTGCCCTTTGATAGATTTGGCAATCGTCAAATCAGCAGCTGCCAGATTGCAACAGATGTTTGCAATTAATCTCGAATATGACAAATATTTACTTGTTATTGTTTCATATAAATAAAAAATTATAAAAAGTTATAAAAGATTATAAATAATTATGAAAAATGATATATTCAATTTGAAAAAAATAGTAAAAGTTACAATAAAATATAAAACACTATAAAAAATTATAAAAATAAAAAAAAAATTAATTATGTTCCAGTCTAGTCTAGATAAATAGTATAGAGTATTTATTGTTTCCATGATATGGAAATAATTAAATTACTGGTTGACTATTTAAAAAATGTAAATATTGCTAATATATCACGCTAAAAAATATCAAGTAAAAATCTCTGGTTAATGGACCTGCTCCCAAGTCATATTTTCTTTCACACACATACACACAAATAAAATCAAATAAAATAGAGCAAAATTAAGTAAAATTGGATAAAATTTAAGTAAAACTAAATTAAATTAAATTATATTTAATATATATAATATATAATAAATTAAATATATTAACAAATAATAAATAAAGTAAATTAGTAAATTAATATTATTCAATGAAAAATATAAAACTAATAAAATTAAGGAAAATTAAGTAAAATAAAATCGAATATATTTAATATTACATTTAAAAAATTTTGAAAATTACTAAAATCGTAAAACAAAATTTTTAGAGAAAAAATTGAGATTTTTAAATTTAAAGAACTCAAATGTGTGGTGTTATTAAAAAAAAAGGGATGTGGCATTACGAGAGTGGCCGCGGAGAGGAAACAGCTTTCTAAGCAAGGAGTCATGGTTATAATTGATTTTTATTCTATTTTATTTCTGTTTGAATTAAATTGAAGCTGTATATAGCTTATATTCTGTCTTTATTCTTAAACCACATAAAATAAGTACTGTATTATTTTTTTTTAGACTAACCAAATTCATCGTTATCCACCCATAAAATTGATAATTGTTACCGACGATATAATTCCTATTAGTACAATGGAAAACAATTTAGGTCTAGTCGTGGTAAGTAACTAATATATTTCAAAATTCATTCATTCAGAATTTTACAAAAGACGTTTTATTCCTGTTGGACAGGCCACAATTGACGAAATGCCCCTGACGATGCTCTAGAGAGGGAAAGTACTTGGGCAAGATTTAATTAATAAAGCTGTGCTCGATATCTGCCTTTTATTTGATCAAAGTATTTTATTACAACCTGTACTAAATTACAATTTAATATACGTGTTTTGTAATTTTATTTGATCAAACTAATATTCAAACGGAATTTTTGATGTTTTATCGAAATAGCATCTTCGTAGATCACTCGATCGAAAGAAGTAATAAACGTACCGTAAAGTAAAATTCTGGTTACCTAATTCCAAATAAAAATAGTAACAGAGTAAAACAGATGTTGAAAACTTCCATTTTATTTAATTTTACGATATTTAAAAGATATCGTGCTAACAACATTTTTATATTTTGCAAGTTTTTAAAAATTATTAATTCTATTGTTATTGTTCGATTTTAGGATATCAGAAGAAAAGCCGAAGCTTCTTATATGTCTATCCCTGGTAAGTTATAATTATATTTTAATTCATATATTCTACTTTTATAGAATTTTGGATTTAAAATGAATTTTAGCCGAGCCATCGGCTAGATCCTTGAATCAGGAATTGCGTCTTCTTCCAGTCGACCTCTTCCCCTGCATTTTATCTTTGATTATTAACTGCAATATTTAGGTAATATAACCGTTTAGGTAATATAAGCTTAAGGTCTCTATGACATACAATCATGTTTTATTTATCTTTGGTATTGTATTATATTCTCTAAATCTGTTTATATGATGTCTTGCACGTCACGATTGGACCAAAAGTAGCAGAAATACGTGTCTAAAGCCCCTTTGGTTTATTGTTCTTTATCATCGTATTCTATTCGCTAAATCCTCTCATATGATATACCACACGTCACGATTGGCCCGTTAGTAGCAAAAATAAAATACGTATCAAAAGCCCCCTTGGCATGCTGCCATGTTTAATTTTTTTAGAGAAAGCGTCAAAAATAAGCAAAATGAACCTTAGACTTTCTTATGGAGGTTTACATGGAGAAAATGGGAAATGTGTAAAAATTATATTAAAGACGCAGCAAATAACATTCTAGGGCCACAAAAGCACCACCACGCAATGAGGGGTTCGATGCCCGAAAAAAAGAACAAAAATATAAAGATCTCAGAAGAGAAAAGAAGTACATCTATAAGAGAAAAAAGCGAACTTATGAAAATAGAATATTGGAAGAACTTGAGGCTCAGCTGGAATGATTCGAAAGAATGGGCTGCTGGTGGTGCCGAAAGTAAGATATAAAGATATAAAGTGTTAAATGATTAGGAGATTGTACGAGCGGCTATGTGTGAGGACGATGAGCAAGATAAGGACAATAGCGTTAAGGTTCTCGTCAAAAAGTTGGTAGTTCAGAGGTAGCAGAAGCTTTTAACACAGCTTTAATATATGCCAAAGAAAACGAATTTCACAGCCATGAAGTTAGGTTTCTTCGTTGCTTTGAGATCGGAATTTTGAAATCTTCTTTAAGTGCCATCTCCTAATCGGAGTTTGACTATCATCATCACTATCTTTATCTACTGCTACTTTGAAGAATTCTATAGAACTCCATTTAAACCAAACCCTTAAATTCTTCTTCCTACCATGACCATGACACTCTCCTTCTTCCTATACTCCTTCCTTCTCTTATCTTTTTCTGTATTATCAGCTTTAGAAGTTTCGTTATCTATTACGATTTGTGCTCTTTGATTCCAGTAGAGGTTTGTTATTATTCGTAAGTCACTATTGTGGTACATTGTTTCGATATGTGTCCTGTGTTGTATACTGAGTTAAGTTAGTCTACCATAATGTCTAAGGTTTCATCATTTATGCATTTTAAGATTTCTATAGGAATTTGGTCTGAACCTACTGCTTTACCACTGTTTGCTGTTTTTTAATGCCATTTTAATTTTCTCTTTTAATATCTTTAAATCCATATCCTCTTCTAGTTCTATTTCCATATGCTCTATTCTATTGTCTTTGAACAGTTCATTGATGTATTCTGTCCATCTCTTTAACTTGTCGTTAGTATTCAACACAAGTTTTTCATTTGCATCTTTCAGTATTCCCGGTTTTCTTGTTCTATTGTTGTGAGTTAATTCTTTAATTTTTTTATGTTAAACTATCATGTCTTTTCTAGTATTCTATTTATGCGCATTGTTCTATTAACCATTGTTCTTTCGCTTTCTTAATTCTGTATTTTATGTGTTTATCCACTTTTTTGTACATCTGATTATCTTTGTTTTGATATTGACGTTTTTCTTCCATTAAATCTAAAATTTCTTCCTTCATCCTTTGCTTCTCTTTATATCTGGTTGGTTTTAGAATTTCTTTTTGACTTTTATCTATTTCCACTTTCTTATCCGTCTCAGTATTTTGCAGAATTTGTTCTTTAACATTCATTAATCCGTTGTTGATTTCATCTGCCAGTTGTTGCCTTATGACTGGGTTCGTTAATTTACTTATATCGTTTTTTGCATTTGTTGTTCTTCATTTTATTATTTTCATTTTGAGCCTAATTTTGGTCACCACTACGTTTTGATCAGGTTTTTGCGGATATAATTGCGTTCCTGTATCTTTGTGTAAATAATACATAGTCTATTTGGTTTCTTACAATTCTCTCTTCTTGATCTGCTGGTGACTTCCAGGTATATATTCGTAGAAAGTTTCAATATCGCTCTCTGGTTTGTCCGCAGTTTTAGCATTAACTTGCAGGATGTTTATTTTGGGTTTGTTCTGGTTTAATTGTAAGAGTATAATTCTGTTGGAGTATGGAGTGAAGTTTATTACAAAATCCATAAGGAAAATAATTAATGCAGCTGACTGTATACCACGTATCACAAAAAAGAGGTTAGATCTTTGTTAATGGGTATGTTTAAAAAACCCTTAAAAGGACTATATCAAAGTACACGAAACTGATATTTTGGTGGCTCAGGCATGTTAACTTGCATTTTTAAACCTGATGATGGAATTATTATTTCGAAAACGTTCGTATAATTTGATGTAGCCATTTTAAGGGTTTTTTAAATATACCCATTTTTTTTAAATTGATTACATATTATCCCGACACCATATATGTGTGAACCGTCTTGACTTCCTAAAATAAACCTTCGCTTTTGAAATAAATTGCGCAAAATATAAACAAAGGAGCATTACAGACTTTTTCAAGAAAAATTAATGTTTTATTTGAATTCACTGTTTTTCTTACATAGCTGTAATTTTGCATATTTACATTTTTTTCTTTATATTTAATTTAAAAATCGATTAAAAAAACTAAGATTAAACAAATGTTTCATTACCATTACATTTATTACCATAGGGTTTTGTTTTTGCCTCTTAAGATTATCGATGCCCTAAGGAGAACTGATATAATATCTTAGTTTCATATTATAAATTAAAGTTAAAATTAATTGAATGTTTTATTAATTTTAGTCAGCTTGGATCCACATTATGATTCATCTTCGGATGAGTCGTATATGAATCAAATTTTTACTTCTATTCAAAATATTGGGGAAGGAGGCTTTGGATATGTTTTCAAAGCTACCCATAAATATAATAATAAAAAATATGCGTTGAAAAAATCGAAAAGCAATCAAATTCTCGAGTGGACGAAATATCAAGAAATCATTAACTATGAACAAGTGGGACATCACCCCCATATTCTAAGGTATTTTATGGCTTGGGAGGAAGACTATTATACCTACCTGATGCTGGAATTATCACAGATGTCTTTCCGCGATTATGTTATCCGAACTAGAGATGTACCAGATGCTGTATATTTTGATTGTATACATGATATATGCCTAGCGTTGGATTATCTATTTACTACACGAGGATTGATCCATTATGATGTAAAGGATAGGAATATCCTTGTCCACGGGAGATCATTTAAATTGGCCGATTTCGGCGCCGTTATCCTTGCACCACAGGTAAGTTAGAAAAAAATTTATTTTGTGTTTATTTTTGGTTCTTTAACCCGTGATTCCTGCCGTTAGATTTTATCTAACATATTTTATTTTTCTTGTAAGGTTAACCCGTCGACATGAGAACTAGTTTTCAGTTAGATGATTTTTATGACATATTTTGCATGATTTAGGAGACGTTTTAAGTCATGATATTTTTTTCCTAGAATGCTTACGGACTTTACTACATATACTTAAATTTAGACACGTTCGTAACGTCAGATGTGAAAATTATGTTAATTTTTTTTTAAGTATCCATGGTTCACACTTTCCTGTCAATTTGGGGTAAGTGTGACAATAGACTTCAGCTTACAACAGCGTGTGTTATTTTTGGGGCAAGTGTAAATAATTTAAAAGTGCAAGAAAAAACGAATTTTTTAGTGTTTGAAAAATTTTAATTTATTTATTTTTAAGCAAGTTACCAACTTTTTAAGATTTAAAGGTTCAACCCGACAAAATTTACGTCAAAAATAAAATGATCCCTTCCGTCTTTAACGGGTTCTGGTAAAGTTTTTACGATATCGTCTTCAACTCACTCTATATCAAGCCAAAAAAAAGTGTTACTACTCTTTTTATATCTTAAAAAGCAAATTTTCCATTCATTTTAAATCTTGTTATCAATTCTTCCATTAAAATGTTTTTTGAATGTGTACTCTACAACATCCCAAATACCCAGCGTGATTTGGGTCTTTCCCAACTACAACCGTTGGCACTTTTTTCTCAATTATTTGCTCGTTTTCTTCAAATATTTCAGGATCTAAATCATCTTCAGAGTCAACATATTCTACCAAATCTTCTTCCGATTCTGAGCTACTAAAAATTTCTTCTCGTTTTTTAACCCTCTTCGGTTTTTAAATTTTTCGGTTCACATACAGATTTGCTACAGTTGTTTTCCTTGCTGATGATCATTAGCTTGAATTTGCTGGTGTTTATATCCAGTTCATATGTTCTACTTATTTCCATTATTTTGTTCATTAAGTTTTACTATGGTATTGCAAAACACTATTGTATCATATGCATACCGTAGGTTATTGAGGTTGACTCCATTTATTGAGATTCCAATACAGATTAGTTATTATTTTTAGGTCTCTTACGTCAATCCCTGTCCTCTTCAGCACTTCTATCATTTGTTCATGCCTGACTCTATCGAAAACCTTCTTGTACTTAATCAGGCATGCAAAAACATTACAGATGGCATCTCTACATTTCTAAAACAATAGCTGCACGCTAAAAAGCTTTCCTCGTACCAACGGAGTTCACAAATTCAAACTGATTGGGCGCAATTTGTTCCCCTCATTTCCGGTAAATTCTTTGGTGGATGACTTTGAAAAACAGCTTCAGTAGATGACTCATTAGGCTTATGGTCCTAAAGTCTTCACAAACTTTTGCTACTGGTATTTTGGGCAATGGTACGAACTCCGCTTTGAGCCATTCTCGTTTTCTTCAAATATTTCAGGATCTAAATCATCTTCAGAGTCAACATATTCTACCAAATCTTCTTCCGATTCTGAGCTACTAAAAGTTTCTTCTCGTTTTTTAATCCTCTTTTTTATTCCGGTTTTTGAATTTTTGCTTCTTTTTTCTTTCTGCGTTCTCCTTCTGTTTGTTTTTCTATTTCTTTTATGTTCTTCATTAAATCTATTTTCTTTTGTAAGTTTATTCAGAACTTCTTCGGAATTAACGACTTCTGCCCCTGCAGGTACTTTTTTTCTTTTTGAGCCCGAAGGACTTTGCTTATTTTTCTGATTTACAGTGTTTAAGTTTAAAACTTATTTTTGAACAACTACTACTTGGTGTTGCATCCGAAATATTGGTTGTATGGTTTTCCACAATCTGGTCTTTATTAACCGACTGATGAATATTGTCGGCGGTATTAGCATCCATATTAGTATTTGCGTGTCAGCTATAACTATTGTTTGGTCTTCTAAAGGTCGATTCAGACACATCAGTCACGTCTCGTCACAGTGGTTGCGCCGAACCGAACAATCCGTCATACAAAATATTCTTTAATACAAATATGTTGCCGGCATTCACACTCATCAGTTGACAAACAGTTTCCCAGCTGTCAGATAGTTGATAGTTCTGTGACCAAACAGGACCGGTTCGGCGCCGTGACTATGACGGGACTGATGTGTCTGAATCGACCTTTAGTAGGCGAACATAAACTACCTAAGTAATGAATAGATATTTTCCCGGACGGAAAATAGAACCAAGTTTCTTCTTCTAAATGTGCCTATCCGTTCAGGACGTTGGCGATTATTCAGCCTATGATGACTTTGTTGATTGCTATACGAAATAGCTGTGTTGAGGTCTTTCTATACCATGCTCTCAGCTTAGCAAGCCAACATATTCTTCTTCCTCCTGGGGCCCCTTTTCCTTCAATTTTACCTTGCAAAATGCATTGTGGTAGCTCATATCTGCCTTGATTTCTCATTATATGTCTCAAGTACTGCAGTTTATGGTCCTTCACGATGTTGACCAAATCTGCAGTTGTGTTCATCCTCCGTAGTGCTTCTTCATTGGTGACTTTGTTTATCCATGGTATCTTCAGGATCCTTCTGTATAGTCATAGCTAAAAAGCCTGAAGTTTTGATAGAGTTTCTACCTTCAATGTTCACATTTTGACTCCGTATAGAAGCACTGAGTACACATAACATTTAAGGGGCCTTATTTTTCTAGCGTGAGGTCACGTCTCTTAACAACAGAGCTCATAGTCAAGAATGCACTTTGTGCCCTTCCGATGCTACATTTAATCTCTTGGATATTGTCCCACGGCCCATTTATTATAGTTTCTAAGTAGTTGTATTGTGAGACACGTTCAATTCTCATTTGGTTCACATACAGATTTGCTCTAGTTGTTTTCCTTGCTGATGATCATTAGCTTGAATTTGCTGGTGTTTATATCCAGTCCATTATTTTGTTCATTAAGTTTTACAGCCCTTCTATGGTATTGCAAAACACTATTGTATCATCTGCATACCGTAGGTTATTGAGCTTGACTACATTTATTGAGATTCCAATACAGATTAGTTATTATTTTAAGGTCTCTTACGTCAATCCCTGTCCTCTTCAGCACTTCCATCATTTGTTCATGCCTGACTCTATCGAAAACCTTCTTGTAGTTAATCAGGCATGCAAAAACATTACAGATGGCATCTCTACATTTCTGAAATAATATCTGCACGCTAAATAAAGCTTCCCTCTTACCAACGGCGTTCACATATCCAAACGGATTGGGCGCAATTTGTTCTCCGCATTTCCGGTAAATTCTTTTGTGGATGACTTTTAAAAACAGCTTTAGTAGATGACTCATTAGGCTTATGGTCCTAAAGTCTCCACAAGTTTTTGCTACTGGTATTTTGGGCAATGGTACGAACTCCGCTTTGAGCCACTCTACTAATAATTTTCCTGCCTTGTATATTTCATTAAATATTTCAAGTTATTATTTTTTATTTGTTCTGCATCTAGTAGCTTTAACAGTTCTGCAGGAATTTCATCAAGTCCCGCTATCTTTCCATCCTTCATTTGCCTGACGGCTACCGTTATTTCTTCATTATCTGTTATTTTTCCGCTGTTGCATTTTTGGAATTTTACAGCTATTTCCCTCAGTTTTCGATGGACATTGAAGTCATCTTATCGACTCTGATACACCCCTATTTCTTGATATTGTTCTGTTTCTTGTTTCTCTTTGGCTTCTCTTATCTTTGTTCTGACGATGGTAAGTTCTTTTTTATTCTTGGAGATTTTCTTTGTTTTTTTCTCTAATCCATCAAGTATTTCATCAGTCATCCACGATTTCTGTTTCTCTGTATATTTCTTTAGGCGTTGTTCTTTTATTTCACTTACTGGTTCTTGTATGATGGTTAGACTTTCCTGTGTAGTTCTTGCATTTCTGCATTTTAGTAGCTTTGTATTGACGTTTTCACACACCTTTAGTCGAACATTGGGATCTTTCAGTTTTCTAACATCATACTTGTTCATCGGCTTACTTGTAACCTTCTTCATTCTGACTTTGAAATTACCTACAACCAGTACATGGTCAGAATGTATGTCTGCCACCGGTATGTTTTAACAGATGTATAGCTGTTCCTGTACCTCTTATTTACTAGCATGTAATCAATCTGATTTCTTACAATCCTTCCCACAAAATCCTGTGGAGATTTCCAGGTGTACAGTTTCTTTGGGTGTAGCTTAAACCAGGTGTTCATTATTACTAATTGATTTGCTTCCGTAAAAATCTCCAATGTATCTCTACGATCGTTCCGGTTTTCTAGTCCAAATGATCCAAATGCAGATGATGTTTTGCTGGCCGGAACTTGGTGTTGAAGTCACTCATTACAATTGTTAGGTCTTACTTTTTCAAGCTTTTCACGACTTGATTAATGCTATAGTATAGTTCTTCTACCTCTTCTTGTGTTCCTTCTGTTGAAGGTGCATACACTTGAATTATATTGATGTCGCTTGGTCTTGCCAATTCTTTTGTCAATATAATACCGACACCTAATTCATATTTCTCGTTATCAGTTTCAGAATAGTAAAGGCGATGTGTTCCCCGATATTTGCGGTTCCTGAACCTGGCCAACGCATTTTGCTTATTCTCAGAATATTTAATTTTATGTGTGCCATTTCTTGTATTGCATTATGGATTTTTACCTTTCTGTGACATGGTTTTCATGATACATGTGTATATTTTGATGTCTTCTTTGCATTTTACTATTTTTGTTATACTTGTATCTGCTCCAGTTTTCCAATTCTAGGACAAAGGGTTGCCCGATCGTCTAGTAGCTCCTCCATCCGAAGCTGTTGGCCAGTAAAAGGGGGATTGCTTATACCGGCAATCGCTCGGTGGAATTTTTATTATATCTGGTAGGTGGCACGTGGAGCTATAATTAAGAGTTAGTTGTCTTATGAGGACCAGTTATCTAGAACCATCTCCCGTCTATGATGCTCGATGTGGTCGTTCCGATAAAAGGTGCTACCTCTGTAACACAACTCTACCCCCTAGTCTAACGTAGACTGCTTAACTATTTTCTCTCAGGTAGTTGATACGACGTCGTACGATTAAAAAATCACTACTACACTCATGGTATTAAGGAATTGATCAAGATCCTGAAGGGAAGATATAATATTTTAGAGGAGGACTAAGCGCTCAAGACTTCCAGCTATCCCGTGTATCTATCTCATCATAAATCAATGATATATATCACATTTGCATTTGTTTATTAACCAATATCGATATCTGATGTATTATCCCATGTTAGACAAGCCTAATTTTAATTTATTTTACAGCCATTAAGGTATACACGTAGCTCAGGTATAGGAAAATTGGTAAATTCCCCAGACATATTTAGCTTCGGACATAGTCTAGCAGGATCTATTGAACAACTCCCAGAATCTTGTAGAACAAGTAAGTATTGATTAGTGTAGTTAAAAAATATTGAGAAGTGACCAATCAGTTGGCTATATTTTATACAACTAGATAATATTATATAAATACCTTGATTCATTAATTTTCAGAAAGTTGTGTCCCACTTTTAAAATTAGTGAAAAGAATGACAAATCCCAACGACGTCCAAAGGCCTTCAGCAAAGCAAATATTAAACCTAAAAATAATGGAGGAAGTTATACAAAGATACGTGACCGGAGCAAGACCGATATACACAGTAAGTTTAAACTATTGTAGCAATATTTATTTTATAAAACTTTAACGATGGCACCAGTGTGTCCACGGGTGGAGTGTAAAACAGCACAAACTTTTTTATTTGTAATTTTAGAGAAAAGTGTCATGCTTAATAAAAAGCTTTGCTTGTTCCTAAGCTCCATAAAATAACCTAAATTTGAGGTTCTATGTCACTAAGTAACTGTTAACTTAAACAAAAAAGTTTTTGTTAGCTGCACTTTCAAATGGACAAACCATGGATTAAAGAATAGTATTTATGTACTGAGGTGTTAGGAAGCGATTTGGAAACAGAAAATATGTTCTGCACCCATAATTACTTCTCCCCAAACTATTATTTTGCCATATCTGTAGACTTTCTGAACGTTTCTCAAACGTTCTACATTTCTCGATAGTTTTCATATTGTTATGTGACTGTAATTACGGTCCTGTAATGTTTCGAAAATTCTATCTCGTATTTTCATGGAATTTCGATTGAAGGAGCAGACTCGACTTTCAGTGTGATGATTTTTATGCTCAGTAAAATAGGAGGCGGTTTGGCCACCCCCCTCCACTCCCACTCTGACGTCAACACGCTCAAGCCCACTGTGACGTCACGGGTCTTGATCAGGTCTTGAACAGGTCTACGCGTGACGTCCAATACCAAAAATTTATAGAAAAATAAGAATCGAGTAAATTACAAAGCTAGCAAAAATATGTTGTACAACTCCAATAATCTCATGGCCAATATGAGAACATCTCCATGAGTCTCCATGACTAATAACTTAAATACAATAATTTTTTAAAACAATTAAAAGTTTTCCTAAATTTGTCCATAATATTGTTTGTTCATTGGATTGTTGTTATCGTTCAATTAGTCAGAAAATGTTATTTATAACCATTTCATATCTAATTTTTCTAATCTAATATTTTCATATATGTTTTTTAAGAGAGAAAACTTGGAAGATATCGGTTTAGAAGAAGATACTGTTGGTAATAATCAAGATAATAAAGAAAATGTGGCGCACAATCTTCAGTGAGCCAGATTGGTAAGTATAGCTTTAACTTTAGTTTCGTCTTAGCTACTAATGGATTATGGTCCAAATCGACATCAGCACCAGAATAAGTTTTTGCTGATTCAATACTGTTTTGAAATCTTTGTTGATCAGTGTAAAATCAAATCAATTTGAATTCTAACCATTGTTTCAGCGTGTCTGCGCTAGAATCCCATGTATATAGGCGTCTCGGTGAAAGTTTACAGACAGTATTTGAAACGACTATGAAACGACGATTTTTTGAAAAAACTATAAAGGGCGATATTCACGCTCATTTGTATCACCCAAACCCAAATGACAAACAATGTCTTCTTTTAATGATTATAAACAGACAAAGAAAATAGACAAAGTTGTCTATTTTCAAAAGTTTCTCGTTCTACTACGAACGTGGTATATTATGTTGTGAGCGAGGTGACTGAGGAGCTTGAACGCGGCAATCGCTTAGAAATTTCTTTTTGCGACTTGTCGAAAGCTTTTGACTACGTTTCACAGGGAATTCTGCTCCACAAATTAAATTACTATGGAATCAGAGGTATCCCTCTTGAGCTTATAACTTATCTATGTGGCAGGCTCCAGGCCGTAGGACATGCTTGTTTTCCTGCTCATCTTGCAAGAATTTATGCTATTCAGAGTAAAAAACTGTGTGGAATGTGGAGTAGAAGGCGACCTAGATCATGTAATTTTTGGCTGTGCCAAATATAATTTGGAATCCACCTTATAACTTATAGTAAATCTCCGTTTAACGTTTTATGTGCCCTAGCGACTCAAAATAGATTAATTTACGATTGCATAATCGATTTTTTGACCAAATGTAATATTTTTCTTTAGTTAAAAAAATTTTTTTTCTTACTTTTTACCTTTGTTCTCTCCTTTATATGTTTAATCCCATGTACCGTGGCCCAGTTTTCCCGTGTATGTTATATATTATAATATCCTGATGGGACCCTGGACGTAAAGCGAGTGACCTATGTTAATTGTATGTGTATATGGATATACATATATGTGTATGTATACATATTTTTTCTTTTCCCAACTTTAATCTTATCTATTTTAGCCTATTTGATTGCAAATAATTAACAAACTTCTTACGGCGTCCAATGAGATTAAAAGATCATGTAACTGGCTGTATGGCAAACTGCCGAAGCCATTAAAAAAAACAGGTCTAAAGGTCATCTCTCCGATTTTCTATCTGTAAAACATGGAGTCCCACAAGGTTCGGACTTAGGACCTCTTTTGTTTATTATTTATGACAACGATTTGCCTAAACTCATAAGTTCTTCATAAAGACCATCTATTCCATTTGCGCATGCAGTTGATATGAAAGAAACACACGAAAGTATGTCGCTGATCATAAATGCAGTAAACTATGTTACATATAAGTGGCCAATATGTGGTGACTTAAAAGTCATCGGATTATTACTAGGTCTTCAGGGAGGATTTACAAAATTTTGCTGTTTTCTTTGTCTTTGGGACAGTGGAGTAACACAGAGCCATTACCAAGTTAAAGGATGGTCACCAAGAGATCAGTACATTCCAGGTCAAGCTAACGTAAAAAGTATACCTCTCGTTGATCCCAAAAACGTTCTGTTACCTACGTTACATATTAAACTGGGATTGATTAAAAATTTCGTCAAAGCATTAGATAAAGAAGGAGATGCGTTTAAATACCTTAAACAAATTTTTCCTAAGCTAAGTGACGCGAAGCCTAAAGAAAGGATATTTATTGGACCACAAATCAGAAAAATACTGAGGGATCAACAGTTTGATGAACAATTAAGTGATGTTGAGTTAGCTACCTGAATTTCTTTAAAAAGAATTATTTTCGAGTTTTTGGGAAACAAAAAAGCAGAAAATTACCAAAATGTTGTAGAAGAACTACTTAAACATTGCTGCAAAATGGGCTGTCGCATGTCTCTAAAAATACACTTTGGTTGAGGAAACAACATACTGTTGGTTCCTCATGAGAGAAAGTGATATAGAGTATAAACGGAAATCAGCGTTTGCAAAGAATTTGTGTACAAAACACTTACCATAGTTTTTGTTTCTAGTTCTGGGCTTAATTATATATAGCATATAAGAATTTTTATAATAAATAACATTATTTGATGCATCCTATAACTCAAAATATATACGTGGTGAGAAATTTTGGTGTTTCAATTCGTTAGGATGCTTTAAACCCCCCGGTACAGCCATTTTAACATCAGTCGCAACTTTTTTTTTTTTTAATTTGTTGACTAGTGTTATTGGTTAATTTACTCTTTTTTCCCATGTCTATTGTTGGTGTATATTTAATACTAATATTAGGAGTGTTTTTTTTAATAAACGCATCGACCACGCAGGGTCATTAGCGTATTTAGATTATGTACCATATGTGACAGTTGATACAATATGTGAGATAATGTGAAATATACATTAGTTTACAATAATAATAATAATATGTATGTGTGTTAAAATGTACGTTTTAGATCTTTTGAAGAAGTTGACAGTCTTTAAGATAGGAAAATATTTTTCGGTTATGTGTATTTTCTTCTAGGGCATCTCTTAGGGAGTTGGGTATGCTATATTTGAGTCGTTCACTCTTATATTTGGGACACTGTATTAAAAAATGTTTTACCGTTAGAACACTGTTGCACACTTCACTACACTGGTTTGTTTTTGCGCTGTAATAAATAGTCATGAGTAAGTCGTGTATGGCCGATACGGAGAGGGGTAAGTATCACTTGCTCTCTTATGTCTTTTATTGTTGGTTTCCAAAGATGTGGATGTTTGTTGACTTCGTATAGCCTTAATGGAGTGTTCTTCCAAGTTTTTGCCATTTGTGAATTATTTTTTGTTTTAAGTATGGTTTTAAATCGTTTTGTACCAATATGTTGCTTTCTTCGGACATCGAGTTAGTTGGTGCATTTTTAGCCAGTTTATCTACAGCTTCGTTACCTTCAATTCCTACATGAGAAGGTACCCATAAAAAGTGAACTTGGATGCTCTTATTTGAAATGTTTTTAAGTTCTTTTTTAATAAGAAGTAGAAGGGGGTTGTCACAGTATAATTGAGTCACTTAGGATAATGAACTTAGAGAATCGGTTTTTGTTTTGTATTAACGATAGTGCTTTTAGAATTGCGAATAATGCATCCGAAAAGATGGTTGTAATTGATGATAATTTGAAACTAATTTAGGAGTCTTCCGAATAAATTGCTGTTCCAACTCTGTCTTTATTTTTTAATGCATCGGTGTATACGTTGTAGGTATTGCCATATTTGTTTAACAGTGTATGAAACTTTTGTTTAATGACGGTTGATGATATCTCTGATTTTCTTAGGTTTCTTAGACTGATGTCGATAGCAGGAATAGATATTTTCCATGGTGCAGGGTTGTGGATTGATGAGGTATCGTAGGTTTTTGAAAATTGAAAATTTAATTTGGATAAGTATGATTGTATACGAAAGTAAAAAGGATGATCAATTTGATGTGTTTGTTGAAATTTATTTGTAAATCGATCAGCAAAAACGTTATGCAGTACTGGATTATTTCGGTTTGATGACACTGCCGCTGCATTATGTTACGCTTAGATATTGTTTTCTGAAAGAAAGAGGAAGTTCTCCACTTTCCCAATAGAGACTTTGAATAGGACTTGTATAGTGAGCACCTAAAGAAATAGGTAGACATCTATTTTGGATAATATCCAGTGACTTCAAATGTGTTTTTTTGGTGGAGTTGTAGACGATGGCTCCATAGTCAAGTTTTGATCGAATTATGGATTTGTAAATAAGTATTAAACTTGAATAATCGGCACCCCAGTTTTTAAAGGCAAGTGATCGTAGTAAATTTATACCAAGTAGACAGGATTTTTTCAGCTGTTGAATATGTGTCTTCCAAGTTAATTTTTTATCAAACGTAATACCCAAGAATCCGATTTCTTCTACATAATCTAGTTTTTGTTCGTGTAGATATAATTCTTTTGTTTGGATTTGTTTTCTCTCTGAGAAACAGATTGCTTTCGTTTTTGAAGTGTTAAACTGAAGTCCACTTGTAGCTGACCATTTCTCAATGTGTGTTAACGCGTTTTGAATGTGATTGTAAATCGTTGCTATGTTTTTTCCTCTACAGAAAATAACTAGGTCGTCAGCGTATAATCTATCTTTGATGGGTTTTTCAATTTCTGTTAATATCGTATTTTTGTTTGAGAATATGTTCCGTCAACTCGAACTTGAAATTGTCTGTCAATATTTGGAGTTTCTGTTATAGTTTGATACTTTAATTTTTTTTTTAATTTTCTTTTTTGTTTTAGTTACATGTTTATAACACGAATACTCATTTAAGCATTTTTATGAAATAATATAAAAAATTACCATTTTAGGTGTGCTGAAGGATCATACGTAAAGACAAGTTTTGTCGTGCCCCACAACTTAGCATGGATCATAGGAAGTACAATTTCTCTCCTATTGGTTGACACTAACCTTCTTCGATGGATAAAGAGGGGGTGAAAGACGCATATACAATAACAGCTATTGAATTTGTTCAGTTCCTGAGATTCTGTAGTAATACTTTGTGAGTTGATCTGAAATATATAGGGCAGCGTCTGAGTTTTTATTTATTTTATAGAGTTAAGTTTATAGAACTAGTTAGTTTTTCGTATATAGAATATTTAGTATTTATGAAATTGAATTCCTTGATTATTCCACAATAGTTTATGTTTTTTTTATTTAGTTTTATTTTAATTTTGTTTCTATTAATTTTAATATTTTTTGTAGTTTTGTACTTTAATCGGTTTTAGTTATTAAAAGAATGATTAGTTTTAATTAAATAAATTTACAAATTTCGATTTAGAGACAATTTTAAAAATAAAACTCTAAGGAATTAGGTATTTATATATGTTTGCCATACTATACACTTGAATTTACACTAAGCCTGTATTGTTTTACAAATATTTTATAACTAGTATTAATTATAACAACCTTAAATAAAAACAAGTCCATAACCATTTCTG